CCAGGAGACTCTTATCTCCAGTTAACCTCCAGAAAACTGCAAGTGGCTCAAGTGGCTTGCCTTGAGCTGAAGAGCTTAGAGACAGCGCCCAGGCCCAGAGTTCAAGCCCCATGACTGACAAAAAAAAAAAAAAATTTTCTTTTAGCAACATGAAGTTCCTGTTATATTAGGATATTTGAAATAATATATAGCTCTCGTGGTGTCAAGCTCTTCACCTGATCCCAAGGACAAGTGCTCAAGGAACTGGGCATTGAGTTACAATTTTATTTTTATTATTTCTTTATGTTGTCAGTAGTAGGATTTGGAATGTGGACTCATATTTGCTAGGCAGATGCTTTATTACTTGAGCCATACCCTCAAACCTAGTTAATTTTGTACTGGTCCTTGCTTGAACTCAGGAACTGGGCACTGTCCCTTAGTTTTTTTTGCCCAAGACTAGCACTCTACTACTTGAGCCATGGCTCCACTTCTGGGTTCTTAGTTAACTAGAGACTCTTGTGAGTCTCATGAACTTTCCTGCCCAAGCTGGCTTTTGAACTGTGATCCTCAGATCTCAGCCTCCAGACTAGTTAGAATTACAGGTGAGAGGGGCTTCAATCATTCCTTATTTACTGATTACATGCTATGCTTGAGATTCAGTACATATACAGGCCACCACAATATAACTGGCAACAGAGGCCACAAAGAAAAGTCTCAATTCTTTGGTAGGTAATAACTGACTCTGTGGCGGGGAGGGGGTTTGGTGGGGTTTTTTCTGTTTTTTGGGTTTTTTTTGGTCAGTGGTGGGGCTTGAACTCTGGGCTTGGCCGTGGCCCCTGCGCTCTGCTCTTCAGCTCAAGGCGAGTGCTCTACTGCTATAGCTACAGCACCACTTCCAGTTTTCTAGTGGTTTACTAGAGATAAGAGTCTCACGGACTTTCCTGCCCGGGCTGGCTTTGAATCGCAATCCACAGATCTCAGCCTCCAGAATAGCTAGGATTACAGGTGCGAGCCACCAGCGCCTGGCAGTGTTTTTTGTTTTTGCTGGGAATTGAACTAACAACTTTACTCATTCTAGGCAAGCACTCCACCACTGAGCTACAACCCTAAATTCATTCTGGGGTTCTTTAGCAGAATACATAATTACTTAGATACAAATACTTCATTTATATGGCCATATGGTTTCAAGTCATCTCTATTAGATGAGGCTGCAGTTTTCTAGGGAATATGAGAGCAAAAAATAAATGATCAGAGTTAGTTTATGAGAAGGAAGAAAAAGAACTAGTTGGAAGACTCCTACAATGATATAAACATATACCATTTATCAAGGGAGATAGTGTTACACTCATTAAAATGTTGTAACAAATTGAGACCCCACCCAAACAAATATAATCAAGAATAGCATGAGCATGGATTTTTTTCTCCAAACCCTAAAATACTATGAACAAGAGGTTAAATGTTTTTTTTTACTTTTTTTTTCTGGTCATGGTTGCTGGGCTCTGGGCACTGTCCCTCAGCTCTTCAGCTCAAGGCTAGTGCTCTACCACTTGAGCCACAGTGCCACTTCTGGCTTTTTCTGCTTATGTGGTGCTGAAGAATTGAACCCAGGGCCTCCTGACTTTGTTTTCCTTTATGAAAGACTCCCATATTAGAGAAGAACTGGCAATTTAGCAGTCAATTCAAATTATTTACTGAAGTAGTAGATCTTAAGGCATAACAAAATAGGAAGACTTTCTAGCATTAAACTTTCCTAAGAGCAAAAATGAAACAAACTACCTGTTCTTACTAGCCAAGAAATATCATACTAGAATGCTCTCAGCTCAGTATTCCCATCTACCCATATTCCCCTGACACTGGAGCACCATAGAAACACTCAGATAGAATTCCCGCAGGTAAAGTATCCTTCCAAGTGCTCTGCCAGATAATGTTTTCATCTGGGGGAACCTTTTGGAATCTGAAGAGATACATGTTTATATATAATGAGTGTATATAAGTAACAAGTAATTTGACCACTAACATGGTCATTTACAAAAATTGGTATGTATCTATATGAAAGGATGAAAACCTTTCATATATGACAATTTGCTTCCTCCTCCACTTGAATTGTGCATATTCCTTTACAGTTGTATTTTCGTTCTCTTTTCAGTTCTAATATACCCTATAAAGAAGGAGATTATCTGATTTGGTATAATCCTAAGAGAGACAAGTGGTTTGTGCCTCCACCCCAGGATTACCTAACACAATGAACATACTTTTAAAAACTGCAATGTTAGGGCTGGGAAGGTGGCTCAGTGTAGAGCGCTTGCCTGGGTTCGATTCCCCAGCACCACATAAGCAAAAAGAAAAAAAGCCGGAAGTGGCGCTGTGGCTCAAGTGGTAGAGCGCTAGCCTTGAGCTGAGGGACAGTGCCCAGGCCCAGAGTTCAGGCCCCACGACAGGACCCCCCCAAGAAAAACAAACAAAACACTGCAATGTTAAGTTTCTGAGGACCCAGAAAGGTATGTAGATCTTTGGGTTTCATTTACTTCAGTTAAAAATGCAGTTTTAGGGCTGGGAAGGTGGCTCAGTGGTAGAGCACTTGCCTTGCATGCATGAGGCCCTGGATTCGATTCCTCAGCACCACATAAGCAAAAAGAAAAAAGCCGGAAGTGGCGCTGTGGCTCAAGTGGTAGAGTGCTAGCCTTGAGCTGAAGAGCTGAGGGACAGCGCCCAGGCCCAGAATTCAGGCCCCACAACCGGACCCCCCTCCCCCCAAAAAAATTCAGTTTTAGGGGCTGGGAAGGTGCATCAGTGGTAGAGTGCTTGCTTTGCATGCATGAGACCCTGGGTTCAATTCCTCAGCACCACATAAAGCAGAAAAAGGCCGGAAGTGGCGCTGTAGCTCAAGTGATGGAGCGCTAGCTTTGAGCTGAAGATCTGAGGGACAGAGCCCAGAGTTCAGGCCCACGACCGACAAAAAAATACAAAAATTTAAAAATGCAGTTTTATTTTTGCACTTGAACGTCTGGTACAGCACTTTTTTAGTAAAAGAAAAGCATTATGAACAGATATCTAGATACATAGAAGTTTAATAAGATTTTTGTGTCAGAAAGAGGCAGATCAAATCAGTAATCCAAAACAGACATTAATCTTCAGCAGAGTAACAGATTATTTTGTATGAAACACATTTCATTCCAGGAAAGAAATTCCTGCATTACAGTCACTTCTGCTGCAGATAAAAAGTAAAATGGACTAATGTCGAAGTGCTTCCCCTTTGCTAAAGTCTGAGTAAAATCGATCAAAACAACTCATCTCTATAAACCCATATTATAAAATTTCCACACCAAATCCTTTTTTTTGGGGGGGTGTGGGGGAAGGGTACCAATCCTGGTGCTTGAACTCAAGAAGTAGGCGCCGTCCCTGAACATTTTTTTTTGGGGGGGGGATCGGTCGTGGGGCCTGAACTCTGGGCCTGGGTGCTGTCCCTCAGCTCTTCAGCTCAAGGCTAGCGCTCTACCACTTGAGCCACAGAGCCACTTCCGGCTTTTTTTCTTTTTGCTTATGTGGTGCTGAGGAATCGAACCCAGGGCCTCAGGTGCAAGGCAAGCGCTCTATCACTGAGCCACCTTCCCAGCCCTCCCTGAACATTTTTGCTTGAGGCTAGCACTCTATCACTAGAACCACAGCTTCACTGACCCCAAATCCCCTTTATTTAACATAGCAGTTATGACCTGCCATTCAAAGAACGGTGAAATCACCTTTAACCAGAGCACATGGTGGGACGAAGTATGTGGCTATTCTAATCTCCCTTGGAAGCTGGCTTCCACAAGTAATCCTCTAAGTAACCCTGGGATTTCAATCTTTTCCGTGGGCTATTCCTACCACCACTAGACTTTAAGGCCCGTTCGCCAGCTAAACAGACACCAACCCTAACGTCGGAAGCCTCAGGCTCCACCACGCCCTATTCCCCCCTCCCCCGCCACACACAATTTCTTCAGTCTCACCAACAAACGTCCAGGAGCTGACAAATCAGGGCTTGAGGTCTAACTAATCCCCAACTCTCAGCAGCTAAAGGGCCTTTACAAATCTTAGGATTCTTAGGGACTTATAACCCCCTTTGCTTGGAGGGTCCAGCGCTTTGCATGGACCCCTTGCAGCCTCCAGAACGCCAAGGAGCTCAGGCTTTTCAGGACCCAGTGCGTTCCTCGGCCCGACCTCACGCTCAACCTGTTTCCACCTCGGTAGGGTGGCGGCCTCTGACACTCCCAAGAAACTCTAGGAACTCAACTCGAGGGGGCCGGCACTCCCGTCGAGGCTCACTCTTCGCACTAGTTCACGCCACACAACTTCCCGTTCCACCCCGCTCCCGAGCATCCCCGCCACGGCACGCGCTCCCCCAGCCCCAGCTTCCGGGCTTTGCCCTCAGTTCTGCTTCCGGCCCTCGGTCTCCGATCCCAAGCGGCTCCCGGGCCCGCGTCCTCCCCGGCCGCCCCCGGCCCTCAGCTCCGGCTCCGACGGCTCTCACCGTTCGAAGAGCAGCCTCACGGAGAAGATGCCCGCCGCCAGCGGGTACACCGACAGGAGGTGCCGAGCGCGCGGGTAGTCGTCGCCCTGGCCCTCCAGGTCCGCCCAGCTCACGTTCTGAGGCAGCCAGAAGCGCTCGCTCCACAGCCAGCCCCATAGCAGGCCCAGGGATCCCACCACGGCTGTAGCCATCTTACGCCCGCCTCGCGGCCACCGCTGCCATAGCTTCGGCGGCCGCCACGGCCAACGGAACCCGCTGGGAAACAGCCCCGGGGCGGAGCCGGACCCGCAGCCACCCCCTTCCGGCCCCTTCTCCTCTCCCGCACCACCCAGCCCGCCTTCCCCACAGGTCCAGCCCCTTCCCCGCCCATCTTGCCTCCGCGCCCCACTGCCAGGCCCTCAAGCCATGACCACGCCCCCATCATGGCCACACCCTCTCGACCCCTCAAGGCACGACCTCGCCCCTCCGGACGTGGCCACGCCCCCGCCCCCGCCCCCGTCCAGACCACATCCCTCCCGCCTCACCTCCCTCAGCCCGCCCCCTACCCATTAGACCGCCTTTAACTTTGGCTCCGCCCTATTTTCTACCGGTCGGGGCTTTGCCTCTCCTTCCCTTCCTTCTCTCCTTCTCCCGCCCCCTTCTTCCCTAGCTTCTCTCCTCTTTACTTCTCTCTCCTCCCCCTTCTCTCTCTCTCACGTAGCCACCACCACATCCCTGTTTCAGGCCTAGTTCCTTTACCGGGACATTCCTCTTTCTCAGCACAGCGGATTTAAATCCATGTCTTCATTTGTAGCTTCTGTCCTGCTAGTCTAGCTTGCCATCCATCTCAGCGGTCTGTTTACTATTCCCTACCACAAATGTTTTTGTTACTCTCAATCTCCTCTTCCTTTCGTACTCTTCCAAATAGCCAACCCCTTTCCCTGCTTTATCCGTCAAAAGTTACTGTCAAGCCCGGCTCAAGCTTGTAACCTAACTGCTCTGGAGACTGAGATCTGGGGGAATGAGCTTCAAAGCCAGCCTGTGCAAGAAAGTCTTTGAGACTCTTTTTTTTTTTAATTTTATTTTATTTTATTTGTGAACATACTGTACAGAGGGGTTACAATTACATGGGCAGGATAATGCGTACATTTCTTACCAAGCATTGCAGCCTCCGTCTTTGAGACTCTTATCTCCAAGAAACTACTTAGAAAAAGCCAGAAATGGCACTGTGGCTCAGGTGGTAGAGCACTAGCCCTGAACAAAATAAGCTCAGGGACAGAACCCAGGCCCTGAATTCAAATACCAGGACTGGCCAAAAAAAAAACAAAAAAACAAGTTACTGTCACTTTTCCTTAGAATAAAAAAAAAAAAAAAAAAGATGCGGGCTGGGAAGGTTGCTCAGTGGTAGAGTGCTTGCCTTGCATGCATGAGGCCCTGGGTTCGATTCCTCAGCACCACATAA